TATAAAGGGATAAGGGAGCTGAAGTATTTAGTCATGGAGAAATTCTCCTAGGGAGTGTTAATTCCTGGCTTTTCGGCGAGTGCCTGGACAGAAGGGCCTTCCCATGGTTTGGAACAAAGATTCCCTGGGTTTGGAGATGGAAATGCTGGAAGCTGGAAGTCAACCAGAGCACACTGATATGGTGGGATGAAAGAAATATATGTGAGGCACTGATGATGTCTGCTACAAGCTTCCATAATGAGTTCAGAGAGAGATTTGTTTCCAGACCTGCTTCTAGAAGACAGGCTCTTGGCTCCCAGACGGACCAATGCATCCTGCAGAGAGGAACTGAAACAGAGGAGTCTGAAAACTTTTGCAGGCAGGCAGATTTAAAGAGAGAGAAAGAGAGAAGGGGTGGATACTTAAGTCATTTCTTCTTCATTGAGAAATTGGGACGGGCCAGAGAGAAGGACTGGCATTACCTTTCTAGACTATTCCCTCCAGGACTTAGGAACAGAGGTTTTCTATGCCATGAGTCAGTGTAGAAACACGGGGAAAGGATGAAAATGGTACTAATGAGTAGTAGAATTATCCCTTAAAAAGTGATAATAATGGTTAATACCAACAATAGAGAAGGAATAAGTGTGCAAACAACAAAGGTACCATCTTTTTGAAAAAGATTTACAAGATAAATAAAGACAATGAGGCCTTATTTACACATTGGTCTTCTTCATCTCTTTCTGATCAACTCTTTCTTCCCCTTTAGTGGTCAAGGCTTCATTGTCATAATTATAAGCTCTAAACTGTTATAGGTTACATCTGATGGGCAGAAAGCAGGGCAGAGGAGACAAAGGGAAGTAACATCTGACAATGGGATGTTTGCACTGGCAGAGAAAATAAGCAAGAGTGGTTTCTAAGAGGCAGCTAAGAGATTAGTGAATGAAAAAGAAAGTGTCAGACTGTAAACAAAGCCAGAAGTTATACATGATATACCTGTGTTTTTAATTTTTTTTTTTTAATATAAGTAAATAACCCAAATATAAGTGTGTTGTCATTAATACCAGACCAGTCCATAAGATAGTTAGGATAAGCTGCTATAACAAATTCACAGAAAAATACAGTGGCTCATACAAAACAAAAATTTATTTCTGCCATCTCACAGTGCGGATGCTAGGCAGTCCAGAATAAGTTGGTGGCTCTGTTCAAGGTCCCAGGATTCTTTTATCTTAGTACTTTATTCCTGAGATGTGTTCCTCCTGTACTTGGTATCAAAGCTGCTCATAGCATTGCTTTCCGCTCACAGAAAGGATAAAAGAGAGACGTGAAATACAAGCAACTTCCTTACTTAACCAACAACCATACTTAACTGCAACGAAGGCTGGGAATTATATTTTTTCTCTGAGTATTCATGTGCCCTTCCCAAACTGTGGTGGGGATGAGGTTTTATAAAAGGAAGAATGAAAAAGAAGAGTAATTATCAGGAACAACTAGAAAAAGCATGCTAAGGCAGTTACAAAGACTTTTGATAATCTCACAGAAGTTCACATGTTCTATAATAAAATAAAATGTATACTTTCTTGTGACTTGAAATTCTGGTCTTTACACTCAGTTTTAGGTCTGTTTACTATGATATGGCTGAAGGTAAGTTTAAATTTTAAATGAACTTTATTATGAGTACTGAATTTATTTAATTCAGCCTCATGAAAACACAGTTTTAAGATTTTTTCTACCTATATATACTATAGATCTTACTGTTAATTCTTACAGTTACCATGAGGTTTTCCTTACCTTTATTCACATGCATTCTAAAGTTTACATTTAATTTATAATAGTTTTCATTTTTGTTTTCTATTGATTTCAATGTAGTATGGCAAAGAGTAAGTAAACATTTTGCATTTTGAAATCTTAAAAAAAAAAATCTTAAATAACAGTCTGAACTCAGATCAGTGTAAATATCTTTGGATCATCCCTGAACTGGAAGCCCCCAGAAACCTGAGTTGACTCTTGGTCCACTTTAGTCTTTATTGTGTAATTGGAAACCTGGTTTAATTTAATGGGCTAGCATGCAACATGGAGTCTTGCACAGTTATTTTCAAAGAGTAGATGCTCAATAAATATTGATTGAATAATTGAATTGGGTCGATCAGAGCTCATCAAAAATTGTGAGTTCTTTGGACCAAAGATAACCTGAATCAGTGTTAGACCATCTTTTTTAGACAAAAAATATGTGATTTTGTTGTTGTTGTTGTTGTTGTTGTTTAATGTGAATAGTAGCCTGTGTAACATAAGTAAATATATAAAAGAATTATACAAAATTGTATCCATTGTAATAAAAGATTTTCCCTTCCTTTTAATAGCATAAAAGATGAGAAGCAACTACAATTGTGCCTAGAAAAATAGTCTCAATAAATAGTAGTCACAGTTAATTACCTGTTATGTTGTTCTTTAGGTCACAGAACAAAGAAGTAATAGGTTTTCCACCAATATGTAGGAAAGCAATTCATAGCTTTCTGACAGTCGTTATTGTACTAGGGATCAAATTCACTGTCATGATGTAGAGAAGAGAATCCAATTTGGAAAATCAAGAAGAGCCTGTTTGAGAAATACTTTCTTCACACAAACTTAGCATACAAAAAGATCCAATAATTACAGAACATCTCCCCAGATTTTGCTCTACTTGTGAAATACCTCAGGGAACTCAGCAAGCTTTTATGGAATCTTAGAGCTGTGAGAGTTTCAGAAGACCTTAATGGTGAATATTTTTAATCCAACTGTTTCTCTGGTATATATTCAGTGGTAATATATTGGGATATTCTGGAACACCCCAACCCCGCCGACAGGACTCCAGAATGTGATAGAAGCAGCATATGGTAACTGTCTCTGATTGATTGATATAAAAATTATTTCCTAATTATTTGGCAATGCTATCCCAGTTTTACTCTTTCAAAAAATAGTTCTACTCATCAATTTTTTCAGCCTGCTTCTCCTAAGTCATTTGTTATTAAATTCATAAACTCATAGTAGTCCCTTTTAACTTCTCAAACTTTATTTAGACTCCAGTTAATCATACTAATTTCTTTAAGTTGTATGACATGATTCTTTTGGCACTTTGAGGCCATAAATATTTAACTTCCTAGTTTCTTAATCTTAATAGAATTTACTTGTTTTACATCTCTTTTTTATTGTACCTAAAAATTGACTGATGTTTCCCAAAAGAGTATCAGATATTGGATGCAAATTTTGGAATTGAAAATCCCTCCTAAATGTTAGAAAACTCTAGCAGTGGGGAAGTTGTTTCTTAGATTTTCATTTTTTGATAACTGATAATCAAGGAGTTAATTTTCTTTAAAATCAGTTTCTTCTGCCAATCCTCAACAATGTAAATCTACATCTATTTGTTTATTATAGTTTGAAATCTCATCCAGTAGAGGCAGTTTTAATTTTTTTAATTAAAATGGAGATTTTAAATATATATTTTTAAATTAGAGTTAAAATTTTTATGTCAATTTTCCTATAGAAATGGAAATAAGCTGAGATGACTTTAATTCATTTACCTAACAAGAGTGAGAGTAGTCAATATTACTTTTCCAAAATCTTCAGTTCACAAATACGATGAAATGCTGACATTTGTTAATTTTGAGTAGGGAGTACACTGAAGTTTATAATATTATTTTTTGTAATAGTTCGTACTATTTTTGCACATAGCATTTTTTCCTAAATAAGATAAAATAAATCGACAGCTCTGCTCAAAATCTTTTGATTTTCTGAGAAAGTAGAAAATTGGGTTATATCTTGATGAAGTGAAACATTTGTCCGTATTGTTTGGTTAGATTGTGGTGGCCAGTGACAAGGCTGTATATTAGTGTAGATGAGAAGTGAATTTAATGAGAGCTTTTAATGTTAGTTTAATTAACAAGTAGAGAAACAAGCAATGAATCAGGTGTGATTTAAGCAGAGTGCTTTCTGTACAAAAAAAATTATTCGAAAATAATGAGTTGTCTAGAAAATGCATAAATTTTCCATTGCACATATGACCCTCCCCATGGCTTGCCACCTAGATTTTAGTGGTTGCCCTTTTTAACAGGCTGTTTATTGCAAGTGCATATTTGTCATATGCCTAGTTTATATTTTTTGAACAACACTTTAAGTAGAACTCCAATAATAAGAACTAAAGGATCTTGAGTTTTCCTTAATGTTTTAGATGCTGCTTTTGAGAATGTAAGGTGGAACTAATTTTGGCTGTGAAGAGTGTTTGGTATTAAACTACTGTTTCCCTCTACCCGTCCCCCCACCTCCCATGTATTTTTAAAAGTTTGCTGATTATAATTGTTAATTTTCCTTTTCAAAATTCACTTTTAACAGAAGACTCTGTTAGATGCTCGAAGAACACACAGCAAGCCAACTCATGCTGGCAGAGGAGGGAGAGGGTCCAATGCTGGGGCCAGGTGCTGGCGGTGGGGACTTCAAGAGGGGAACTAGCAGAGAGACTGCAGTGACACTGCCCTCCCCGGGCGGGTTGAAGCATCTCACTGGTGACGGGTCTGAAAGCACGTGGCTACGTCATGGAAAGCCAGTCTTTTCAATGCAAACTTCAACTCCTCCTCCTCTTCCCTCTAATGCCTGTAACTCACATCCGAGGCTGGGCGAGGAATCCAGAGAGGAGGTTTTCCTCATGCTCACCGTCGCTGGAAACTGGGAGAGTGAGAGGAAGGAGGAAGGGGATCTGTGGCGCTCTCTACCTACTACCGGCCTGACAAGGGAAGGGGGCACCTAGATTTGCATCTTTTCTTCGTGGCGATTGAGAACTGCAAGTTCAATCCAATCCCACTGGTCACTGGCGATTGATTATAAAAAAATCGACACTGGGAGAAGGGAGGCTGTGTCTTCGGCTGTCAGACTCGATATCGGAGGTGGTATTGGTGTGTGAGTGTGTGTGCTGGTGGTTTTTTTTTCTTCTTCTTTTTTTTCCTTTCTTTTTTTTTTTCTTTCTTAAGTTCTAAATTCTAGTTCTCTCCTAGGGGCTACACAATGGCAGTCTTCTCTCAGTGAGATGAATCCTGCTTTGCCTTCTGCAGACCCACCCATCCTCATAGCAATCAAGTAAAAGGCTATGGTTTTCTCTTTGGGGATCTTTTGTGCATTACTGTTCTCCCTGATTAGTTCTGGTCTCAGTTGGGATTTCTTTGCTTTTTTGTTTGGCTTCATGCTGAAAAAGGATTTTTCCCCCAACCCTTTGGTAACAATCCAGTGGTGATCAAGAGGGATAAATCATTCACCCTGGCCGAAAAAAAACAATCACTGAGAAGTCTCAAAGAAATATACCACGTGAGGGGAAAAAACTGGGAGAAGATCCGGAATATTATCGTGTTTCCTATGGTAAAACCGGTGCCCCTCTTCAGGAGAACTGATTTCAAATTATTATTATGCAACCACAAGGATCTCTTCTTTCTCAGGGTGTCTAAGCTGCTGGATTGCTTTTCGCCCAAATCAATGTGGTTTCTTTGGAACATTTTCAGCAAAGGAACGCATATGCTGCAGTGTCTTTGTGGCAAGAGTCTTAAGAAAAACAAGAACCCAACTGGTAAGCAAAACATGCATCATGTTATGTTTTTCCTCATAATAACCTGTCTGTTGCTCATTGAGCTAGATCTGCAGTTCTGCTATGCAGGAAGGCAGGGGAAACAGAAAAGGAACCAGGACAGTGTTGCATATAGAGGTGTTGCATGGATAAACAAGTAACAGCTGGATCGGCGTCTGTGATCCCGAAAACCATTATCATCTCTTGGCTGTGACACAATCCATCACTAGGAGGGAGGAGGAAACTTTTTTAAAAAATGTATTTGGTTGCCGATGTTTGGTGGAATATCGAAGGGCTATGGCTTAAGGTTTTCCCCGAGGCAGATGAAGCTCCGGTAGTTGTCAGGAAAAAGAACCACGAGCTCTCACTTCTGCTGTAGGTTCGAGGACGTAGCTCGGTGCCGAGAACCTGCTCTAGACTTTCTGATTAGCTTGCACAATATTCGCCACCCCATCACCAATACCCAAGTAAAAGAGGCCCGGTCCCTCGCGGCCCCGTTCCTCCGTCAGCCCCCGCCTCCCTCCGCATCTGCTCCGGGTGTCGGAGTATTAACTCGTTCCACCGTCTGCCTCCGACACCTCCTGCCGCTGGGAATACTTGAGCAGGGCTTAAGCCTTGGGGGAACTCCAGACCGATAAAAGCCTAGCCCCTCTAATATACACGATTACCCCCAACCCCTTAAAAAGCAGTATCAAAGCCCTGCGTCTGGGTCTCAAGGGGTGGGATGAACCTGGTTGTGGATCCCTGCTTCAGCATCCCAGTGATCATGCGCCCCCATTCCAAAGGGCTCCAACCAGGAAACTTGCAGTACATTACATAAGAAATGCAAATACAGGTGACTCGGAGAGTTGGGTCCCCGGGGTTCACTTTCCTATATCTCAGTCTGAGGCATTTGGGGCGGCCACGAAGCTGTGGGCCAGCAATCCAGGGAGGCCAGGCCGGAGGGCTGCGTGGTGGCGGCGGCGCGCCAGAGAGAAGGCTGGGCGCAGCCTGTCCCGGAGCCGTGCGCACTGGCACCGGGGGTGTGTGGCGTCACCCGGCTCGATTCAGGCTGGAGAGGAACCTGGGGCCGGGTGTTCGTGTCTGGGGCATTGGGGGGCGGGGGCGGGGGCCGGGCAGTCCTGCAATGGATGCTCCTGACGCTGGCACTGCGGTGTAGTAGATCATGGCTCCCCACGGCGGCCCTGACACGCGGAGCCCCAGCCGTTGGGCAGCAAGTGGCTGCTACCTCTCTGCCTCGAACCTTGCAAATGCAGGGTAGCTGGGGAGGCGTGCTCCGAGGGGGCTGCGCCTGTGGGTGCTCTGTGCTAGTGAAGGAGGAAGAGGTGTGGGTGGGCGGGGATGGAGGCGGTGGGTGTGGAGACTGAGCACCCTGTGCAGCTCCCACGGCTGCCGCAGAAGGGAAGCTGCGAGTTGTTAGACTGTCCAAAAGGGCAGATGCTCTCGTGCTGGGCAGTTGCCCCCAGCTAGGAAGTTTGGGTGGCTGTTGAGGCTCTGGGAGTAGCCTCTGGCTACCCGCGGGCGCAGTGCTGCAGTGGGAGCTGTGCCTCTGTCCTGGAATTCTCATCCCTGTGCTCCAGCTCTACCTCCTGTCTCCCTCTGTTCCTCTCCTCCCCCGCCTCCTTCTCCTCCTCTTCCTCCTTCATCCCCGTCCTTTTACCCTTCTCTCTCAACTGTTCAGCGTTTAGTAACTCTGAAATGATACCACCATTCTTAGCATTACCCAAGGAGAAAACAGCGTTGTCACCTTACCATCCGCATTTCCAATTCAGCTATGAAGTGTACTCCAGCCAGGCATCGAGCTCAACACTTGCTGATGCCTTGATCATACCTAGATCTGCAACACTACTATCTCACAAGTTAATGTGAAGACACTTTTTGCAAGACTTCCCTAAGTGGGACAAGCCAAAGGCTGCAGTTGGGAGGGAAGGGGTTACTCCTTCACACAGTAAAAACAGTGCTTTTTGAGGCCTTGTGTCATCTGAAAAGATTTAGCCCCCTTCTGAGAAAAGAATACTGTAAAATAAATTTTTAAAGGCTCTACCATTTGTCTAGGGACCTTGAAGTCAGTCCCTCCACAATTCTGGAGTGGAAAGTAATTCAGCACAGTACAGTAAGTTTCCTTACTGGCCTTTTTAATTTCTTTTTTTTGTCAACGATTTTACTGGAAACACTAATTTCTCCCAGTACACGATGCAAGATCTTTTTATTACACCTCCCCCGCCTCACCCACTTTCATCTCTCTGGAATAAAGTAGATTTTTTTTTTTCCCAAGGCATTTTGGAAGGTGTCAAACAAATAACCAATTGTTTTTAGAGCAATTTATTTTGCAGTTTATAAATTCTAAAGTATTTGGGTGTGAATTGTTGGGTTAACTCAAAGTGTGCCAACAACATCACCAGCTATTCTAATAGGATAGTTTAGTCTTAGATTGACAGGGGTTAGAGTTCCAACTTGGGAGTTGAAGCATTTTGTAAATTATTTTTAAAATGGGACATTAATGTGTCACATTATTTATCTCGTCTTCTAAAAATTTTGCTTTTTGAGCTTGAATCAAACCCATGCCTACCCATTCCTTTTCAGTGTTGTAGGTGATGGAGTTCCATTCTCCTTCTGCTATTAACATGAAGTCTGAAAGCCTTTGCAAGTTTTTGATTTAGTACAACCAAGAAGTTAACTGGGTAATTAAAATAAAACAAAGACTAAAATCCATTAGACTGTTAAAAAGAAAAAGAACAGATTGACTACTACCTATTATGTTATCTTAAATCTTAAATGAAGACAAGTAACTGGTTTCAAATGAAGAAGCTTGGCAGAATACCACCAAATACTGGGATCATGAATTTGGTGCAAAGATATCTTATTAGATTAATTTCTCTTCCCAATCTTTGCAAGTTATAAAATAATATACTGATTATTGCCAATTCTTTAAATTGTCAACAAGTATAGATAGTTTGGTCAAGGGTTCCTAGGAGGAATTTCAGAACACTGTTATCAAGTTGGTGTGAAAATAAGCAGATAAGACAACCATGAACTTAAGGGCAAAGTTGTTCATTTACTCAAAAGTTATTAATAAGTATTTAAATAAGAGGTGTTAATTAGTTTTTGTAGTTTTTACATAAAACATGAAGAATATATTTGTACAATATATGCTTTTTAAAATAAATTACAGTAGCTTAAAGATTCTGGCTATAAATTTACTATCTTCGTAAAAATGAACAATGTCTCACAATACACCTACCATCAGAAAACACACACATACACTTAAATGTCCTACTTTCCCCTACTTTCCTAGCAGAATAATAGTTATATGTTTAGAATCAATGTTACCTGCTTCAACTTATACTGTATCAGTCATGTAAGGTGACTGTATTTTAGGCAAATCTTTAAATAAGGAATACTAGGTCCAAGGAACTCATTTTGCCTAGAGAAGGGTTTCATAAATTTCTTTAAACCAGTAATGATAGTTTGAACTGGCCAATGCGTATCACAGGCCAGTCTGAGACATAATCTAAGTCTTTGAATTTTAAGTGACATCTGCTAAGGAAAGAAATGTGGTTGGAAAAAAAGAAGCCCACAATAAAGGTAAATACTAAGGTCATGCCATGGATTTCTCTTCAGACACATAATGTACAATAATCAAAGAAAGCCACAGAGCTTCAAATACATACACCCACTCAACCATACACACAAGACCCCCAAACTTCCATAGATTTGATAGCATTTTGGAAAACACAGATTTTAAGATAAATTCTAATTGAAGTTAATTTTATTGAATATTGGTGTTAGTGGCAAGGAGAGTAGGAAGCAGATGCCCTAGACCTACTTCTGCAGAGCATATTTAGAAAATCCCACACGCTTGAGGCCCTGAGTGTTTCCTTTTCTGAACTCAGTCTCCCTCTCTGTCATGTAATTTTGAGATGAAACAAGCAGGGTTTGGTAGAATTCATTGGCACTTTCTATTTCTAACTTGTTTTGGTGTCTTTCAGCTCTACTTTTGCCTTTCACTAAGCAGTTTTAGGTGCCGAAACACCTGGTATGTCACTGTTACTTATTTAAATACGCGTTATTCTTTTAAAGCTACTTCCTTTACATCTAAGGCTGTCATGATGTTTAGAAGTGAGAAAATAGGGAAGTGGGTAAAAGAAAGAGTAAGCATTTTTTATTCCTTCTTCTTCTCAGACTGTCCACTTATCCTGGATTCCTATAGGGCTAGGTGAGCCACAAATGGCCCACAACCCTGAATTCCTAAACACTGAGCATGTATCAGATGGAGACATCAAATTCAGACTGCATGGCTAGAATACCATATAGATATAAGGTTCTTCTTCTAACGTGCTTGTCTTTAGATTGAGATTCCATGTAGTATGAGTTGGCCTTGGATTTCATCTAGGAAGCTTTAATTACTGAAGTGGCAAAATGAGTTTTCCAGAGCAGTGCCACTCCATGAAACCAAAGAATGTTGTTTTAGATAGGGTTCCAAGTATTGACCCGTTAGGAAATTGGATTTTTCTTTTTGGAATTTATATCCAATTTAACAAGTTAACAAATCCAATGCATGATACTCTAGTAATTGTTTTAATGATGATGATGACTTTGGCTGTACCCATTTCCAGCCTGTTCCCATCTTAGACAGCATCCATAACTGAGAACATTCGTTCAAATGACGCATTGCTTTCAAAAGGTGCTAAAGCTAATTCTATACTATATTTCACTTTTCCCACATGGAACCATTCCTTTAAAAGTATTCAAACCCAGTCTTCCATATTTTAGCAACACAAACATTGGGGACATTTATGAAGTGTTGTTATACATACAGTAACAAGAACAACAAAAGTTTTCACTCCTTTGCATATTTTGGCATTGTAACTCATTCAATAGACTCATAAGCTTTCTATAAATACTGTGTAGATGTCTCAAAATGGAAGCATTTATTCAAAATAGTTTTCGCGCCTTAAGGGGAAACAGTTGGTGTACTTGAAGCAATGCATCATGCCTATATT